GAACTGGGTATCGGAGTCATAATCCCTAATGTAGATGAGACGACTTTGAGATTTGCCGACACTCGTGGCCATTACAGCCCGGCGGCGCGGATCATCTATAGCGGAGTAGCTACACGGCTCTACGCACTTACGGGCTTTAGTACCGAAACGCGAGTGGTAAAAGCAGTAACCTGAGGCATCAGGTTTTGTGCGACGGTGCGATGATCCAGAGCGGTTGCAGTGCTTACGTTTTAAGGTGAGTTCTTTGATCTGGCGCTGAAGCGACGCTATCTGCAATGATAACGCGTGTATTGCCGACGGAGGGCTACTCGCGCCTGTCGTTGTGGTTGCGCCAGCGCAAAGCTGCTTGGGTGCTTTGGTTTTAGTCTCTGGTTGGTGCCGTTCGATGACGCGGTCTGCTAGATCTGCAATTGCCGTGATTGGCAAGTCACTTGCTACTGCAAGGATAGCTTGAGTGCTTGCAGGAAGGCGTTGCATCCACAGCTCGCGGAGAATCCCTACGTCCATGTTGGACGTGCCGATGAGCTGTTGCATTTCGCGCAACAAGGCTGAGGGCATCCTATCTCCTAGCTGCAGATCACCAAATAGTTGTTGCAGACGGACCTTGTCAGAAGGCGTGATTCGCTGAATAATAGCCTGTTTAAGTGTCTCGTATTTCATTACTGCAGGGGGACAAAGTATGATGTCTCTCACCTGCGAGGATGTACTCTGAGGAAGGCAAGATATTAACAGATTATACATGGCGAAATCAGAAGAAGTTTTACGAATATAAAATACGGATTCTAGGTGCAAAAACCATAATAAAGGATCATTCTCCCAAAACGAGGGAGGGGTTAAGGCAACAGAGGTGACCATGACAGGCTGAACGGCGTTAGCCGCGCATGGAGATGGCTTATCCTCTAGACAATCCATTGCAAAAAGCAGGTAAAATATGTGGTAGGTGAGAAAACAATATGATCACAAGTAATGAATCACAAAATCACTGGAACGAGCTCACCAGAATGAAAATGCAAAATGGCGGGCGGCGTGTTCCTGACAGGGGGTCACCAATTGTTGGGCGGAACCTGGGATACTAGTCGGTAAGCAATGACACTTACTACGTGTCAAATACGACAGTATAGAAGTCGGAGGAGACTGAACCCAACGTGTATTGTACAGGCTACAAGAATAAGAAGCGAATCAGACGGAGCGAGAAACGTGCAGCGAGGAACTCACCAAAACGGTTTGTGACCATGGATGTGCAGTCAGTTAAACAAATGGACGTTTCTAAGGTTAAAACAACCATAAAATCCAATGTTATAAGATACTGAAAGAGCATGTTTTCAGTTGCACTACAAGAGGCTCAGCTGAGGCCTGCACTTTTTGCAGAACAGAGAAGGCTCTCGCTCGCCTAGCTTGGTTTTGTTAAAGAGCTGCGTTACGCGCTCATGGTCTGCCATGCCGGATAGCTATAAGACGACGGCCTGGTGCTCGTCGTGACACTTCTGATATTCGGAAAGCTCCAAGATGTCGTCCAGGTCCTCGACAATTTGTAGAGGATACGCGGCGACAACGCAGTGAAAATTGACACTGTATGATCTAGGGCTATGTAACGAAAAATGCATTCTAGCTAAGTAAACCTGGCTTTAGGATTAGTCTCTCGGAAAGGCGGGATAGAGAAACGGCACCCACTAACCTGATGGTTCAAATTTCGGTGAATGACCTTCATGGTGAAAAATGACACGGAGCTAGTGAACTTTAACCCAAATAGTATAAAGTAAAATTAGTCGGGTAGACAGAATAAATTACCGAATATAAAAATAAATATTAGTAGCAAACTCGCCAGAAAAGTGTTTTCGACGCCACCAAGTTAGCACGTTATTTGTGCGCTATTTAGCAGGTACAGGACTAGACGGACAACCAAATGCAATGGGTAGAACGCACAAAAATTAAGCTATCGGAAAAGTTTAATGAACTGGAGAAGAGCTAGCTAATGCTAAAAATAGGTCACCACAAGAGAGCTAACTAGGGAGGATATAGCTGGGAGTAGAATGCGTGGACGGAGCGTCGTTCGCAGTGGAGTTGCGCGCGCCAAACGTGGATGTCATGTTCGCATTTCAAGCAAATTGGAATAACATTCTAACAGGCAAACCGCCTAACTCCATAATACATAAGAAAGCTATAAGATTGATACCTTTTCGAATAGTTTACACGGCCAAACGGGGGATTCTCCAGGTCGCTACAGGTTCGTAGCCTAGATGTAACGGGCTAAACTCGTAATCTTGCTGCACGGGTTCAAACTTGCCTAGGGGCGAGGCTACCCTTATATTATCCTTACCTTGCGTGCGACCATTGGTATTTGCGTGGCAGCGTAGCGTTGGCACTATAAACCGGCTTATTGCTGACGCCGTTTTCCGGTATTTTTATTATTAATTACCTTTTCAGATGAATTTCTCTGTTTGTGTTTATTTGAATTCCACAGGTAATTAATGAAAGTTTGTTTTTAGCGTGGTATCTTTTACTCTTATATAAGTGGGGGCTATTGTGCGGATCAAATACAGTCCGTGCACTATGTCGAACATTCATACGCCGTAGCCAAAAATAGTAGACAGCCCTCCGAATAGTTTGGCGTTGTTAATTCACCAAATAGATCTTTGGTGAATTAATCTTCGCTGAAACTTCTTCTGGTAGCAATGGTCACATTTCCTACAAAAGGGTTTGTTACGTTCCACTTCTTACCTAATGAATTTGTTGGTTTCAGTTTCTTACTTCACGTAGCCGGCGCAGCAGCGGCTGCCAAGATAGGATCAGTGCGTTTTGATTGTTTTAACACAAAAACCTGCAAATAAACCGGCAGCCAAAAGAATAGATATGTGGGCTTTATACGGATACAAATTAGTAACCAGCATCATCCAGTCAACAACAGTAACGTCAAGTTCAAGTTCAAGTGGGACCGGAACAATAGGATGAATCCCATAAGTCTTCCTTCTTAAGCGGGTCGTCGATCCAGGAGTTGATAGGGGTGCGCCGACTTTTTGATGGGTCTAAAAGGAAAGCGCCCGAAAATAAACATTCTGCTCCACCAATTTAATGCCCACGTTGCTTGCTTTAGCTGTCCCAGCTGTCAGTTACGTGAAGTAAGTAAGAGAGAAAGAAAATGCGAAGGTAAGAGAGTGGGGTAAATCAGTTAAAAATAGTATAATACCAATGGCGAGAAAAAGTAAAGAAAAATAGAGTCGAAGTATGAAGATTGGAATTTGTCAGGAAAAGGGAAAGGTTTCGTGTTGCCACCCAAGAGTGTCTCGTTGACGCTCAAACCCCTTAACCGTAGCTTCCTTGACAACATTTTCTGGAAACAAGTTCCAGCGGTCGATGACTCGACGTGATAACCGTGTCTCCGCTCTAACTCGATTGGACCGCGGTTTGTCCAGCTTCATACAATGCCCGCGAAGACCAGATAATCTGGCAGGACAAAATAGCATGGACAGATCAGGGCCAACGTTCGCAGTCAAAATACGGTAGGTTATGATTAGGTCCCCTCTAATCCTTCGGTAGTACATTGATTGCATCCCCAAAATAAGTAAGCGTTCGGGGTACGTTTGCCCTCGTAGTCTCCTGACCTACCTAGTACAGACACGCAACACCATTTCTAGTGCCATTTCGTCCCGGACAAGGCATGGTGGACAGGCCTGGACGTAATATTCTAGTTGGGGTCGCACAAACGCTGAGAAACGCTTCAAAAACACATCAGCGATTGTGGTCCCAAAAGAACGACGGGTAAACCACAACATCCGGAACCCTTTGCTAGCCGCCTTCCAGTTGTCTCCAGAGTGTATTGTGGAACAGTGGACGACACCTAGATCAACCTGATGAGTCACATGAGGAAGTTCACTCCCATCGAGCACATAACTTATGGAGAAAGCAGACACTCCGATACGCAGCACTGAACACTTTGCCCGGTTTATGGGCAGCAACCACAAGACAGATCATTCCCAGGGTCTATGCAGAGCCCGTTAAAGCGCCACAGGACCTCCAGGGATATCAACAATACTCCAGAGCTTTAGGTCATCAGCAAATAAGAGCGATGGTACCTCAAGCTCCTCCGGCAAGTCATTCACGTAGACTGAGAAAAGCAGCGGAACAAGGACGGAGCCTTGCGGAACACCGCTAAGTACAGCTTGTCAAAACGAAAGACTGCTCCCCACGCGAATACACTGTACCCGTCCATCCAGAAAAGCTGACACCCACTGGAGAGTGCGACCAGATATTCCATACGACCTCAACTTCAGTGAGATTCGCGAATGGGGTACAGTGTCAAAGGCCTTGGCGAAGTCAATGAACGTCACATCCAACGCATGTCCACTGTCTACGGCTTCAGCACAGCTCTCACGAGCTGTGAGCAAGTTCGTCTGACAGGAAAGTCCTTTGCGAAAGACATGTTGCTCGGCACTAAGCAGGTTTAACCTATTTAAATGGTTTTCCACTGTATCTCGTGCTAATTTTTCAAGTAAATTAACGACCACGTTAGTCTAGCTGACAAGGCTGTAATTAACCGGTAGGTCTTTGTCACCGCACTTGAAAATTGGACAGACAACAGCCTCCTTCCATTCGGTAGGCAATATACAGCTGCTGAGTGACTTCTGAAACACACAACTCAGAGGTCCACTGAGTTCCCCTGCCAATTCGTGCAACAATTTTGGATGAACAGAATCTGGCTTGTAAAATTTAAAGACTTCAGGGAGTTGTTGGTTAGCAACCTTGCTAACACGATTTCAGCATGTGTTTCGCCAGTTTCTGCATTACCCGATCGCTACAAGAGGTGGATTAATGGTCCAAAAGCGCATGCGGCTGAGGTACCCAAACACGTTTTCCAATGTAAGGGTATGTAGATTCGGTGTATTTAACACTCCGAAAATAAACATTGCCTTAGTGTAAATTAGAAAACCCCAATTTCTATGAAATTAACAGCCAGCCAACTTTAATATCGCTTTCGTTTCAATCGTTGTATGCTCCCAAATGACCTCTCTGGCGCGGAAAATATCTTGGGTTTTTTCTCGTAAGTTTGATCGTTGCTTGTTATGAAGTATGGCGCTTGCTATTACAGTGCTCATTTTCTTTCGGTTTGCCGGTTTACTCTACCAGTTCTTCAGTTTTTTGCTTACTTTTATGATGGTATTCACTTGTTACTACTTTTCACGAACGGTAAGAAGCAGGAAAATTCCTCCAAGGTTCGACCCCTCAAGATTGTATGTGGAAACGAAGAAGAGTGCGCGTGTATCCTTCGACGGACTCCACGTCTCAAAGGTGAACCTTTCTACGTGTTACGAGACCTCTCTCCAGAGGACCGAATTAAAATGAAGAAGGCTGTAGAAGAGCTCCGAACACGCCGGGCGAGTGGTGAAACCGACCTACATATCGTGGATTTTTGCGTAGTTCGGAAGAGCACAAGAGTGCGCTGGAGGCCGATTCTTGTCACCCCCAGACAGTACAGCATAAAAACGGACTACACGTGCTATCTGCCAACGTACGCAGTCTAAGGAATAAACTTGACGAAATTCAGTTGCTTACTTCGGAGACTCGTCCAGACCTGATGGCCTTCACCGAAACCTGGCTATTCTCAGATATCACGGACTCGGAAGTGTCTATCCCTGGATATCACCACTCCCGGTCCGATCGCCACGGAGTGAGATCAGGTGGTGGAGTAATTCTCTACTGGAAGACGGATCTCGAAGTACATCTAGTTGAAGCAATCAGTGACCAGGATGACAATTTCGAAGCCCTCTGGTGCCGTGTCCATGACGGATGCAGATCTCTCTTGGTCGGTGTCGTCTACAGAGCGCCATCGGGTCCCGGAGCACGCTTGTTGGGCTCGATACGAATGTATGGTGGGCACAAAGACTGTTTAATCTTGGGGGATTTCAATGCACCGGATATCAATTGGGACCTACTTCTTTGTGATCGCCGATCTGACTCCTTCGACGCCACACTGCTTAAAACCGCTCTCGATTGCAGCCTCGTTCAACATGTCTTGACGCCTACTCGTATTTTCCCAGACCAGACCCCGCACATCCTGGATCTCGTGTTCTCCCCGGCAGATTCAGATGTCACGAACTTAACCGTTCTTCAACCCATAGGCAAGAGCGATCATTGTGTTGTGTCATTCCACTGGACTCGCCGTCTCACGATCCATAGCTACGGTGGTCACCGTCGAAATTTTTGGCGTGCCGACCCACTCCGTCTGAAAACGGCCGCAAGCGCTACGGATTGGGGTATCCCTGAACACATTCACCTCGATGACGCATGGAATCTTGTACTCTCCAAAATGACGTCGTTAATTGAGCGGATCGTTCCTTCCTCCCATCGAAAGTCCTTCGCTAGAGGTCCACCTTGGATGGATCGAGAGTTGAGGTCAAACATGAATAGAAGGCGTAAATTATGGGACCGCTATAGGCAATCTCATTCAGAACTCGACTTCTCTCACTACAAGACAGTCAGAAATGTTTGTGTCTCAATGAAGCGCCAGAAACGCCAACGATACGAGCTATCCTTGGCAAAACACTCCAGCATCGCGCCTAAAATGCTCTACTCTTACTTGAAAAGAAGCACTAGAGCTGGTAATGGCATCCCTGCTTTGTGTTCCTGTGATCATCAAGCTTTACTTCACGAGGATGCTGAGAAAGCTAGTCACTTGGCTAAGCAATACGCTTCTGTTTACGCGAAAGAAACGCCATTTAGTGACAGAGCCGTATCCACATTTCCATCTTCGTTGGCCCAAGTAGATATTAACACTGATTCTGTGATGAAACTTCTTCTTCAGTTAGATCCGTATAGCTCACCCGGCCCTGATGGATTGCATCCTTTGTTCCTCAGGACTGTGGCGGAGTACATAGCTTCACCCATATGTCAAGTCTTCCGTCGCTCACTAGAAGCTGGCCGTCTTCCTTCAGCTTGGAAAGTGGGTATCGTCAAACCCATTTACAAAGGAGGAAGTCGACATGACCCGGCCAATTATCGTCCAATCTGTTTGACGTCAATAGTGTGTAAAGTTATGGAACGGATCCTAAAACAAGCCGTTACTCTTCATCTTGGGGGACAGAATGTCATTTCTTCTGCCCAGCATGGGTTCAGAAAAGCACGCTCCTGTACCTCGAACTTGCTCGTTGCTAAGGAGACCTGGGCAAGGTCGCTAGACTCCGGCAAATGCTTGGACGTTGTGTTTGTTGACTTCAGCAAAGCTTTTGACAAAGTCCCGCATGAACGGCTCCTGTTTAAGCTCCAAGGAATCGGTATTTCTGGGAACCTCCTGTCTTGGATCTCCGACTTCCTAAACGACCGCTCTATGCAAGTGAAGGTGAATGACACATTTTCTGCTCCTGTTCTCATGACGAGCGGGGTCCCACAGGGCTCTGTCCTCGGTCCCGTACTTTTCAATATTTTCATCAACGACTTACCATCCACTCTTCAGACGGATTGCCTAATCTACGCTGACGACCTAAAGCTATGGATGGAAGTATCCAGCCTTGAAGACGCCGACCGATTACAAACTACGCTCAATCTACTCCATGACTGGTCGATTAAGTGGCAGTTGCCCGTAAATCGTGATAAATGCTCTGTTCTCCCCGTTGGCTCATCAAACCCATTTGGAACTTACCATATTGGTGGTTCCTTGCTCAGAAGCGCAACCCAAGAGAGGGAGCTTGGAGTGATAGTGTCATCAGACCTCAGATCTATTCAAGACACCCAGAAGAGGGTCGCCGCGGCCTACAGGATGTTCCATTCTATACGTAGAGGGTTTTCTCTCCTGACCCCGGGACTTTTCCGACTCCTGTTTGGCTCGCATGTACGCCTGACTCTCGAATACGGACTACCCGCTGCCTACCCTCTCGCCAAATCCGAATGTGATATGATAGAGAAGCTTCAACGGCGTGGATCCAAATCCGTCGCTGAGTTGCGAGACCTGTCGTATCCACACCGACTTCAACGACTGAACTTGTTCTCTCTAGGCTACCGCCGTCACCGAGGAGATTTGATTTTCACTCGACGTATTCTCAGAGGAGAACTGGGTTGCGGGGTACAGGACTTCTTTCAACTCAACACTGAGAGTTCGACACGAGGCCACTGCATGAAACTGTTCAAACCGAGGAATCTCCGTGTGCGGCTCAATTTGGCCTTATCAACTCGCGTGGTGAATGATTGGAACCGGTTGCCGGATCCTGTTGTTGATGCTGAGACAGAGGAACGTTTCAAACAACTGTTAGATTCTCACCTGAGCGCGCTGGGATTCTGCTGCCTCTAAGGCAGCTACAGTGGTCCTCTGCGGAAACTTCTACCGCAATGAACCACGCCATCTCCGCAATGATCGGGAAGTGAAGGAGCTGACAAAGGATCTTCCTTCTGCTCTCTATCATCCAATGATCCAATGATGAGCAACATGTCGAATCCGCTAAAGTATTTGAACCTATTGGGTCCAGCGATCACTCCACGATTTCAGCCGTCCTACGTTTGCCATCTGTTGTATCATTACGAATACCCTGTCGTAACATTTGGAAAGCAAACTGGGATCGGTTGATAAGTACTGCGGAACACATGGACTGGTCATTACCTTTGAATGACGGTGTTGAAGTGTGTTGGGAGGTGCTGAAGCAAAACCTTGTTCAGTTACTAGACCAATTTGCTCCTTTAACACCAATAAAATGTTGGAAGAGGCCGCCATGGATGGGTAGCGAATACGTTGTCATGTCAAGGCGACGTGCAAAATTGTGGAAGAGGTTCAAACAAACTCATAGCCCTGAAGATTACACAGCTTACAAAACACAAAGAAACTGTTGCAATTCAGTGAAACTACAGAAGCGTGCGGCTTATGAAACACGCTTATCAGCAAATGCGAAGGAAGCACCCAAAAATGTTTTTGCATACATCAAGCGCAAGCTTAAGCCAACTGACGAGTTACCTGCTTTGGAAAATTCGCTTGGTGCACTGTTGACCGCCGACAAGGACCGAGCTATCGCACCTGCTTCACATTTCGAGTCAGTGTTCGACTCAGCTTCTCCAGCATTTCAGTATACCCAAATCGACGCCAAACTGGATACAGTATCCTGTTCAGAGGACCAAGTAAGGGGATTGCTTGCTAATCTAGACTGCTCCAAACCACCAGGACCTGACGGCTTGCATCCACTACTTCTCAAAAGGCTGTCACCTGTTATCGCACCTGCAGTGACGGAATTGTTCGAGGCCTCTTTGACACAAGGGAACATCCCACGTGAATGGAAGCAAGCGATCGTACGACCCTTCCCGAAAGGAGGAAACCGAAGCAGAGTAGAGAACTATAGACCGATTTGCCTGACACCAGTGCTGGCCAAATTGCTGGAGAAAGTTGTCAAGAAGGCGCTGCTTGAGTTCACAGAATCACACGGTGTGCTTACATGAGTTCAACATGGTTTCCTAAGAGGACGGTCTTGTACCACGAATCTTCTGACTTCTGACACAGTTGGATTGAAGCAGTTAATGAGGGTAGGAGCGTTGATGCCTTGCTGATTGACTTTAGCAAAGCATTTGATAGAGTGAATCACTTTATCTTGCTATCTAAACTCAACAGTTATGACGTGGGTGGAAAATTGCTGAAATGGATTCAGCCTTTTCTGGACAAGCGGCAGTGGTGCGTCCAGGTCAATGACTACCGAACGAAATGGTGTACTGCCTCTAGTGGTGTGCCACAGGGCACAGTACTTGGCCCAACGCTTTTTCTGTTTCATATCAACGACTTACCAGCACGTTTGATATCGACTTGCGCGCTGTTCGCAGATGATTTGAAAGTTTGGAGGGAAACATCGACCCCCCGTCGATGAGGATATACTGCAAAGTGATCTCGATACAATCTCCTCATGGGCATCAACAAACTGCCTTCCACTGAATGCTGAAAAGTCCGAATTGCTCCGCATTGGCAAGTGCTGTCGGGACAGAACTTACAGTGTCGGTGGACGTCTACTGTGCTCTTCTGCGACGGTTAGAGATCTAGGAGTACTATCCCGATGGGACTTAAGATCGTCAGACAATACG